GAATTGAAGGTTCAGGGTGTAACTGCGACGGAATATGGATGGTTTAAGATGTTCCCCGCCTTAAGCTTCCAGTGCGCACGGGCTGGTCAAGCGCGAAGCCTAGAAGACGCCTAAGCCCGAAAAGCCTTGCACCCGAAACCCTGCTTTTAAGGTTTACTTGGAGGTTCATAGTACTTAAGAACCAATTATAACTGTACTTATAACCCCTTTGTAAGCTCCTTAAGTGCCCTAACCGGGTCATAATTAGGTTCTAAGTCCAGTTATTATTGGTTAGTAAGTACCTTGAACCTCCAAGTAGGGTTAAGAGATTGGGGTTTCGAGTCTAGCTTTAAGGGTTAGGTCGTTTCTAGGGCTCAGCCACACAGCCTCCAAGCACCCAAATTTCTTCTAAACCCTGTGCCCTAAGCCCTAAGCCCTGAGCCCTAAGCCCTAAGCCCTAAGCCCTAAGCCCTAAACCCTAAGCCCTAAGCCCTAAGCCCTGAGCCCTAAGCCCTAAGCCCTAAGCCCTAAGCCCTAAGCCCTAAACCCTAAACCCTAAACCCTAAACCCTCAACCCTAAACCCAACCCCTCACTCCTTCAGCCCCGCGATTCAATGCCTCAATGGGGAAGCAGCCACCATGGGAAGGGAGCACGTCCATGCGGAACATGATCCAGATACCTGCTTGCAATACTCTTGGCATACAAAATGTGTACATGGAGACAGAGAGAGACAGAGAGAGAGAGAGAGAGAGAGAGAGCGAGAGAGAGAGAGAGAGGGAGAGAGAGAGAGAGAGAGAGCGGGGGCCTCTAGGATTTATTGGGGTTAATGGGCTTGGACAGGGCTTGATATTGCTCACGTTAGCGAAGGGTACCTGGCCAAACGCCAACGCGCCTAGGCTCTTGACAAGGTCTTGTGTTGGGGTAGTCTGTTGCGACATGGGCTGCAACTAGCAAAACCCCAAAACCTGAACGCCACTAGTTATTTGCCCTAACCCCGAAACCTGGAACCCTAAACCCTAACCTGAGGTCCGTGCCAGCAGTGAGGGACGAACCACAAACCACAGCGCCCCAGATCAGCCCAAGCTCGGCGACGTTGTGGAGAACCTGGCATTGGCTGTCTTGGGTTTGGGGGCTTGGGGTTTGGGATCTAGAACGCCTAATTACCTCCCCAACAGCCCAACAGTTGCCTTTTCATGGATGAGAAAAGGGATGTAAAGCCTACACCCTGAACGCCATTGAGCTAGCGATAGGCCCATCCATATGCAGCAACGTTCTGGCGCAAGTGCCAGGGGTGCGCAAAAAAAAAACTACAAGGCTTAATTTGTACCTGAAGCCTTCGAAGCAGTTCGTGTTGGGGTTGATTATCGTTTGCCCATTTGACCTCCTGCTCACACACCCGCCGCCACAACCCAAAACCGTAAGACCTGTGAACCCTAAATGCTTGACGCTACCAAGCCCTAAACCTTAAACCTTGAACCCTAAACCCCCTTAAGGCCCTAAACCCTACGAGCCCTGAGCTGAACCCTAAACCCTAAACCCTGAACCATAAACCCGAAACCCTAAACCCTACACCCTAAACCCTAAACCCTTGAGCAAAGCCCTGGCAAACGAGGGTCCCCAAGAGACAGGTAGGGTTTAGGGATTGGAGATTGGGGGATAATTAGTGTCGTAGGTCTGGAGTGTGCGAAGAAGGGTTTAGGGTTTAGGGTTTAGGGTGTAAGGTTTAAGGTTTAGGGTTTGGGCGCGCCAGTAGACTAGGAACCCTGCAGCAAAAGAAGGAAAACCTCCAAGGCAATGCAGGGAACACTCAATCTCTGTCTGAGGCGTGAAAGACCCAAAATCCTAAACACCAGAAGAGTTTGGAGTCTACTTGAAGCTTCATGTGTAGGGGCCACAAGTAGGGTCACCGTTGCCCTCAAGTAAAGATTTCGACTCCAGCCACGCACCAGCAACCCGATGGGCATCTTTGCCCTTGCACGCCAACTATTCTTGCCCCTTGCCGGGTGCACTGAATGTGATGGGCCACCGTAGAACAGGGATGCCCAAAAAAGGGGCTCATCGGGATGACAAGGTTTGTGGGGTTTACAGGGTTCCGGGTTTAACCCTAAACCCTAAACCCTAAACCCTAAAAGCTAAGTATAACAGCAAGCGCGCTTGGAGTGCCAGCCAGTACGCGAAGGACTGGATCAAGTGCATCTTGCCAATCAAGAAAGTCACGCGGGCATATGCCTCGGCACCTGAAGGCAAAACCCCTATAGTTTAGGGTTTAGGGATTAGGGATTAGGGTTTAGGGTTTAACCGCGACTTCTACTTAGCTGCTGAGTTCATAAGCCCCGAGAATGGTGTAGACTTTCAGCTCTATAGGGGGATTATAGTATCCCAAAAAGTGTAAAGTGTACTCATTCAGCTACTAAGTACTAAGGCTGTCTGACTACCAAAAGCGAGGATGTTGTGGTGAAGCTTTGATCGAAGGTTCAGGATTAGGACCTCCATGCTTGCTCGGGCATCCAGGAAGACCCCACCTCCACCAGGAAGACCCCACACCACCTTAAGCATGCTTTCCATGCCCAGCGACACCAGTAGTCCTTCTGAGCTTGGCGGATCAGTTCCTTCAGTGGCAGCTGGACTGCGCAGGTTTGGACATATATATATATATATGTAGATATGGAGACTTGCTGTCCCCCCAAGAGCGTTCCCCCCGCGAAAGACGCCCCAGAAAAAGAGTTATGGCCCCCCGTGAAATCCGAGGGTAGGGCTCCTTTTTGAGGGTTCCCCCGGTTCCCCCTTTTGGGATACCATGAGCTGGTGCAGGGTTTTGAAGGGAGGCAGGAAGCGCTCGGCCTCACATTGGAGCAGAAGGTCTTTCAATAGCTTGATTGATTCACCTTGGGATGTTCCCCCTTATACTCACAGCCCCTAATGGAGATTACATAGGGGCTACGTCACCCCTACTATTAATGGATTGTTAGTATAAGGGGGAACATCCAAGATTCACCGTTCTCTTCAACGAGCACGGTGAATAAAAAGCAGGGTCAGTGACAGCATGTTCCTCGTCCTCGCCCTCTTCCGAATCAACCCGAAAAAAAACCTCGATCGGCTCTGCATCTGGGATGCAACCCCAAGACAAACTACCTAGATGCCCCTAAACCTAAACCCTAAACCCTAAACCCTAAACCCTCTTTTTGCTGGGTACCTGCTCTTAGGGCTGGGCAGCTGTCGTGAGGATGCTAGGCACCCAAAAAAGAAAGGTGTATACGCCCCTGGATAAACTGGAACTACCCCCCGACCCCTTTTTGCGTTTGAGTAATGCAGGCTACCTATGAAGGCCCAAAGCCGTTCGGCAAGCTATGTGCAGCAGCAATTCATGGAACTCTATACAGGGGTTTAGGGTTTAGGGTTTAGGGTTTAGGGTTTAGGGTTTAGGGTTTAGGTTTATTGGCCCCCACCTGGCCTACCCAAGCCGAAATAAGCCCATGCAGCCCTCTGACAATCTAACACATGTTGGCGCTGTGTTGGGGGTCAGGGCTAGCTGGGGCAGGAACAGCACGGGAAACTCCTACCCTAAACCCTAAACCCCAAACCCCAAACCCTAAACCCTAAACCCTAAACCCTAAACCCTAAACCCTAAACCCCAGGTCCCACCAGAGCAGCGCCGAGCTGCGAAGTGCTCGTAAGGCTCCGGAGGAGCCTCCACGCCGAAGCCGCTGGGGGAGGCCTGGGAAGCGCGCCCAAAGGGCCAAGGTGGTTTAGGGTTTAGGGTTTAGGGTTTAGGGTTTAGGGTTTAGGGTTTAGGGTTTAGGGTTTAGGGTTTAGGGTTTAGGGTTTAGGGTTTAAGGTTCAGGGTTTAAAGTTTAGGGTTTGGGGTTTTGTAAGCCCTAACACCTGAACCCTGCAACCCCGCCTTCGGCAGGGCTTCGCGGGCCTCCAGCTCCTTGTCCATCCTGGGCTCAAGGATCTGAGTTTGGCAGTTTAAGAAGGACACAGGCTTGGGATTAGTTTTTTTGGGTCAGGGTTTAGGGTTTATGGGTTTAGGGTTTAGGGTTTAGGCCTTTGGGTTGGGGACAGATGCACAGGAGAGGCAACGCGTTTCAGGGTTAGGTCTAGGGTTCAGGGTTGAGGGTCTGCGGTGTCCCTCATGCACAAGAGCATGCATTCAGATCCCTGTTGCGCAAGAACCTTCAACCCTGAACCCTAAACCCCAAACCCCTAAACCCTAAACCCTAAACCCCTAAACCCTAAACCCTAAACCCCCAAACCCTAAAAGCCCTTGACCTTAAAAGCTCCTGGCATCACTCGCTTCCCCCACTCCCTCCGCTGCTACTGGCTCAACCTACTTTTTTTTGCAGGTTCTCTAAGAATCCTATAAGGGGTTTGTACAATACGAGCCTTAGAAAAAGTTAGGTTTGGGGTTCTTAAGGTGGGGTTTGGGCTCAGGACAAGAGGGACTTAGGTCTCAGGTCCCTTGCAGAAGCTACCCCAAAGCCGAAAATCTCCCCTTAAGGGGGCTTAGGGTTGAGGGACCCTAAACCCTAAAGCCTAAACCCTAAACCCAATAGGGTTCGCAAGATACCTGATGAGAACCCTTCAACCAAGCCTTCGCCTGAAACTCTGAAGCCTTCGTCGTAAACTCCGACGCCTAAACTTAATTAAACCTCTTCAGCCTCTTCAGCTTCTTATTCAGGCTTCGACTTCTGGTAGCGGCAGGGTTTCAAGTTTGAGGCGGCCTTCACAGCCCTCCCAAGCAACATTCAAGTTCTGGCGATATTGCCAGACTCAGACTCCGCTGTCTGATGGCACGGCTTTCCGGGCGAACAACTTTGTGCCCTCGCCCACTAAGAACATCAGGAATTCGAAGTAGGTTCAACGGAACAGGGCTTGGCCCGAGTTCGACGGTCGTTTCAGGGTTTTGCATGCCCTGATGAGGCTGAACTTGGACCTGAGCCCCCCCTAACAGCCCTAAAGAAAAGACTGAAAAAGCTCAGCGTAAGGCGATGGGTGAGACGGTGAGAACTCAAGAGCTTCATGGTGCCTCAGAGTTTCTGAAACTCTCGATGTCTCTGAATTCGAGCCGGACTTTGGCGACCTTGTCGTCCCTGTCGTCCTTGCCATACTTCTCGGATTGCTCCATCTTTTTGAGGAATTGGACTTCACCGAGCTGAGAGCGGCCGAAACCCGGTGCAAACAACTTTGCGCCCACACCCGCCCCCCGCCCTCGAACTAACTCAGAAAGCGTATCAACGAAAGTCAAGCTGGCATTCCATGCTGTCTCGAACCGTGCAAGATGGTCATGCGGTGTTTGCTCCGTGCTTGTAAACTCATCACAGCTGGGTTTAACACCAATTTTCTCACACGCAGATATCATGTGTTTCTTGTCATAGACAATGACAAGCTTGTGGTCGCACTGGAGGGCTCGGCCGACCTCGACGTTGCAACCGGCAAAGGAACCCTCGAATTTGGGGCCCTATACCCTATACTACTTTAATCCCTATGAGGGTATATGATCCACAAACCCTTCTAGGGTTCACTTGGTCCTGAAGGTGCCGCAAGGAACAAAGGGGCGGGGGGGAAATGGCACACAAACTTTCCATGTGGATGGGCAAGCAACCTGACGGAACCAGCGATAGAACCAGTAGCAGCCCCACGGCTCCTGCTTTCCATGCTTGGAAGTCTTTCTGACTTAGTAAGTCTACTTCGTACCCCCTAGAAGCCCTTTAAGAATCCCCCTAGCCCAACTTACTAACCCTGCTTACAGGCCCACGGCACCTGCTTTCCATAGAGCCACTTGCACATGCACTCGCCATCGGTGTTGATAAGCGGCTCGAAACATTCCATGTGTCGTTCTTGGCAATGTTTCTTGGTGTCTGGATAGAAAACACAAGCCACACTAATGCGTGACTCGGAGCTTGTGATCTTGTGCCATTCCTTCTCATAAACTCCGGGAAAGCTCACGATAGTCTCGTCCTTGCTGTTGGCCATGACGCGGCCACTGAACTTGGCAGGTGGTGCGCGGTACGGCTTCAAGGCGCCTGCAAGATCACGATATTGAACGCGATTTGGGTCTTCTCCGAGTAGCTTCTGAATGAACATGATCTCCCCGACTTGCGACCGCCCAACACCAGGCATTGTAAGCTCGGCCCCGGCTTCATCCGACACATCCAAAACGTCTCCGTCGCTATCATCACCACCGTCCTCCTCGGAGTCTCTCACTCTTTCCGCAAGCTTTTTGAGGCGCCTCATGTGACGCCTGATGTGCTTGTGTGGTTCAGGGTAATCCGCGGTCCACTTGAACTCTTTGAAGTGCTCAGCATCCAGCTCGGCATACCTCTTGAAGTGCTTCTTCAAGTAGTCACAAGTACTTTCCAGCGCTCGCTTGTCGTACACAACGATAAGCGTGTGGTTGAGCTCATAAGCCTTCAACACCTTTCCCAGTCAAACTCACACAGACACGCCATAAATAGTGCATGCAAGCAGCTTAGACTTGCAAACACAGCTCGAACAAGCCCGTGGCCCAAACATTCAATATTGCGTCGTAGAAAGCGGGTAGAAGAAGATGGGACGCTTTAATTACTTCACATGTTTTACTACGTACGTTCTGCCCGCGTAGACCATCGTAGACCCCAAACAGTGAGAGATTATGCGAGCCCAGACGGTCAAAACCGACGACAGTTTCGCATTTGAGCTTCGCGTTTGATGAACACAGATTTCCGGGAGCGACGACAGTTGCGCATTTCGCAAACCCAAACGTCCAAGCGCGAGAAAATTTTCTTTTTCGCGTTTGGCGAACGCAGACGTCCAAGAGTGACGACAATTTCGCATTTGGAGAGCCCGGACGTCCAAAAGTCACGACAGTTTCACCTTTCGCGAACAAGGCCTTGAACCCAGAAGCCCAAACAAAAAGATGAAAGTTTCGAGGGCGGCGACCGCATGCCAGCAGGCTTCGAGAAAAAACGCACGGTCCAGGCCGCGGGCGGTGGCCTTGCGCGGAGCGCGGCGCACTCGATCTAGCCCCTCTTACCCTAAACCCTAATAAACCCCTAAGCTCCTAAAGCCTAAACCCGGAACCCTTTAGTGTTGACACAGTTCGGGGAGTTTTCAGCGCCAAGTCACCTTCTTGTACCAGGCATGGAACCACTTGCATCCCCAGGATTGCTTCTTATCATAGAGCCAACCGCACATACATTTGTAGCCATCGATCTTAAGCTGAATTGCACCGGCAATATCTTGCATGTCTTGCTTGCTGCAGTGCGAGTGTGCATGGTCAAACTCACAGGCAACGCTCATGTCATCGCCACGATTTCGGACTGTCCGCTGTGCACGCTTCAATTGCTTGAAGTAGATGCCTGGGAAACTAGCGAAGGTTTCCACGGCCTCTTTATTGCTCACTTCTGCCAGGAACAGTTCTTCGTCCGAATCGTCGCCTCTTGCAACGCACTGACAAGAAGCCATTACTCCGAGTGGAATCTGGGATAATCTGGGATATCCTGAGCCAAGGTTGACCAAGGAAACGGCTGCCCTAAACTCTAAACCCTAAACCCTAAACCCCAAACCCTAAACCCTAAACCCTAAACCCTAAACCTTCAGACTTTGGCGATCCGTCTCGGGCATGGTGCAACGCGACGGCTGAAGTTGACAGACTCTACCCTTTAAACCCTAACCCTAAACCCTAAACCCTATAACCCTAAGCCCTATAAACCCTGAACCCTGAGCCCTGATTTTAGTGGGCGTTGAACTTTGTCCCGGGATTCTACAGTGCGGGGTGCCGGGGAAAGCGGCATAGTTCTCTGTAGGGATCTAAGAGGAGTATGTGTAGGCATTTTTCTATTTTGCGCACGCGAAAGGGTTTGTTTCAAACATCAGCTTAAATCTCCTTCGTGTAAATATGTATGAATATATATATATATATATATACACACACTACATACTACATACTGCATACTACATACAATATACTATATACTATATACCATATACTATATATGCTATGTATACAAAATATATATATATATATATACATATATAGTTACTATATATACACAGTTTTTGTATAATATATATATATATATATATATATATACATATGTACATATGTACATATGCATATACATATGCAATATACATACATTCATATATATATATATATACCCACACACCTACATCTGAGGACGCGCCCCATGCGCCCCGCATGTTGTTCGCGCTTGGGGTGTCCAAGACGTCCCATCTGAGACTCGCAGACCTGATGCCTATACCCTGAAACCATAAACCCCAAATAAACTACCCTAGGCTCTAAATTCTAAACCCCAAACCCTAAACCCTAAAACCCCAAACCCTAAACCCCTAAACCCCAAACCCGAAACCCTAAGCCGTAAACCCCAAACCCTAAACCCTAAACCCCAAGCCCTAAACCCTAAACCCTGGGGCCGGCACCAGGACGGAGCGCCGCTGGTGAGGCCTGGCATCCGCGCGGCGTGGGCGATCTCCTTGGTGGAGCCGCCTCCGGACATCGAGGTTTAGGGTTTAGGGTTTAGGGTTTAGGGTTTAGGGTTTAGGGTTTAGGGTTTAGGGTTTAGGGTTTAGGGTTTAGGGTTTAGGGTTTAGGGTTTTGGGTTCAGGGTTGAGGGTTTAGGGTTTTGGGTTTAGGGTACAGGGGTGAGAAAGGGTGCAGGACTGAGGCCTGACTAACACCCTAACACCCCAAACCCTAATCACTACCGGGGATCCGAAGTATGGGCCCTTAATTTGGGTTCCCGGTTATATCACCCTGGTCTACACTATACAGACTATACATAATAAAGGCCCATACTAAGGGCCCCTGGTTCCAACCTTGGAAAGTACTACGAATCCAAAGAAGCTTCGCTTTTGCATCTTCGGCTGGCGGTTCCTTTCGGGCTTTGCGGCGGTGAGTTGCCCGTTGGAATGTGTCCGGCTGCAAAGACTGCGCCCGAACGGGTCTTTAGGAGTTCAGGGCTTAAGAGTTTCGGTTGTTCAAGGAGTTTAGGGTTTAAGAGTTTCATTTTGTCGAGGAGTTTAGGGTTTCAGAGTTTCGGTTTTGCAGGTTCAGGGCTTAAGGGTTTGGAGAGTTTAGGGGTGCCGCAACCGTCTATAGACCCCAAACCCTACCAGCGCCACACACTCACTCGCGCCTGTCTCTTCAGCAAACTCCTTGACCTTTCCTTTGACCTTGGCGGCCATGCCTTCGCGCTTTAGGTGATCAGGGCTTCTGAGTGTGGGCTTTGGGAGACAAGGTGACAAGGGGCCACTTAGGGTTTACTTAGCCCTCAGCCCTAAACCCTAAACCCTGTTAGGGGGTTCGGGGCTTGTGGCGCCTACTGGTTTAGGGTCTCTTGGGCCTGGGGTTGAAAACTCAGGGTTTACGGGTTTATCGCTTCCGGTGCCGGGTCCCTAAACCTGTAATTCGAAGTCTACAACTGATGCCTTTTGCCCTGTTTACCTTCAACCTCCCCCCCCCCCCCCCCCCAAACAGCCAAACAGCAAAAATGCGGACCCTTTGTTCGTCGCATGATATGGTCTTTTCAGGCTCCTCGCCTTGCACTTTCGGGGTCACCCCAAAGCATGAACCTTTTGGGGGGGGGTAACCAGATCCCTCAGTCCTAAACTAGACCTCCGGAGTAACCTAGGAATCAAAACGGCACCCTCCTTGGTTTTAAAGAGGCTTAACCCTAAACCCGAAACCCGACAAAAAGGAAAAACGGTCCTACTTCGAGGTTCAGAGTACCTCTTAACCCAAGAATTGCTGTATATCTAACCCGTAACCATATTGGAGCACTTCAGGGGCCTATAAGTGGGTGATAAGTACAGATATAACTGGTCCTAGACCCTAAACCCTAAACCCTAAACCCTAAACCCTAAACCCTAAACCCTAAACCCTAAACCCTAAACCCTAAACCCTAAACCCCAAACCAAACCCTAGCAACCCTAATGGGAATCAGATATTATGCGGTTCATCAGTACCCTGAACCTCCAAGTAGTAAACCCTAAACCCTAAACCCTAAACCCTAAACCCTAAACCCTAAACCCCCAAGTAGCAAGCCCAACAACAAGAGGATCCGGGCCTGGCAGGCCCGCTTTGGAGTAGCCCATCTTGTCCGAGGCGGCCTGGGAAGCACTCAAGGGCCGCAGGGTTTCGGGTTTCGGGTTTTGGGGTTTAGGGTTTGGGTTTAGGGTTTAGGGTTTGGGGTTTAGGGTTTGGGGTTTAGGGTTTGGGGTTTGGGGTTTAGGGTTTAGGGTTTAGGGTTTGGGGTTTGGGGTTTGGGGTTTGGTAGGGTTTGGGGCTTAGAGTTCAGGGTTTGGGGTTTGGGGTTGAGGGTGTATGGTTTGGGGTGTGCGGTTTAGGAACGGGGCTTGGGGGGGGGGGGGGGGGGGCGGGTAACCTCGAAAACGATATGCCCCCCGTTCACCTTTCTTTCAAAGGCTCACAGGCACCTTTGAAAGCGTTCGCGCCCAAAACCCTCTTGCGGTCTGGTGCCGAGACAAGAAGAGGTTGTCTAGGATGTACCCTAAACCCTGAACCCTGAACCCTAAACCCTAACCCTAAACCCTAAACCCTAAACCCTAAACCCTAAACCCTAAACCCTAAACCCATTTGGAGATTAGGGTTTATGGGGTTTAGGGTTCGGAGTTCAGGCTTAAGCCACCCCGGCAGCCCCGTCACTTGTGCCCACGCGATCGCGGTCACTTGTGCCCACGCGGTTTCGGGTCACTTGCGCCCACGTACCCCGTCACTTGTGCCCACGTACCCCGTCACTTGTGCCCACGTACCCCGTCACTTGTGCCCACGTTTCTGGGGGGGTGGGGGGGTGGGGAGGGGGGGGGGATAAGAATAAGCTTGTTTGAGGCGGTCAACACAACCACATCCAGTCAACCACATCCAGTCCCAACGGGTGAGGAAGCTTGTTTGACGCGCTCAACACAACCGCATCCAGTCACCCGCCCTGCGATAAGAATAACCTTGTTTCATGCCACACCAAATTCAGTCACCCGCCCTGGAAACGGGTGAGGGGAGGGCGGAGGGGGGGCAACACAACCACATCCAGTCAACCACATCCAGTCCTAACGGGTGAGGGAGGGGGGAGGGGGGTGGAGGGGGGGGACAAGAATAAGCTTGTTTGACGCGCTCAACACAACCGCATCCAGTCACCCGCCCTGCAACGGGGGGAGGGGGAAGGGGGGGGGGATAAGAATAAGCTTGTTTGACGCCACACACCACACCCAGTCACCCGCCCTGGAAACGGGTGAGGGGATGGGGGGGGGTTTCGAGGGGCAAAAACGACTGTTGTTGACCAACGCGCCCTGCACGCTCAGCCGCAGTGCTTGGGAGGGGGTGGAGGGGGAAGGGGGGGGAGGGGGGGGTTGGGCGGGCTGGGCGTCTACAGACATCTGACCCAAGGGGGGCCTCAGGTCAGTTTGTTTCTGGGTCCAGGCTTTCGAGGGGCAAAAAAACGACTGTTGTTGACCAATGCGCCCTGCACGGTCAGCCGCAGTGCTTGGGAGGGGGTGGAGGGGGAAGGGGGGGGAGGGGGGGCTTGGGCGGGCTGGGCGTCTACAGACATCTGACCCAAGGGGGGCCTTCCACGCAAGGCCTCAGGTCAGTTGTTTCTGGGTCCAGGGTTCGGGTTTGGAGGGGCATAAAAACGACTGTTGTTGCCCGATGCGCCCTGCACGGTCAGCCGGAGTGCTTGGGAGGGGGTGGAGGGGGAAGGGGGAAGGGGGGGCTGGGTGTTTACAGGCATCTGACCCAAGGGAAGCTTTCCACACAAGGCCTCGGGTCAGTTCCTTCTGGGTTCAGGGTTCGGGTTTCGAGGGGCATAAAAACGACTGTTGTTGACCAATGCGCCTGCACGGAAGACCGACAGGTGGGCACAAGTGACAGGTCTGCGTTTTGGCGGGAGGTGGCCCGACGTGCGGCCCTGCTGTGATTTGAGGCACGTACGCGGGCACAAGTGACCCGCCTAAGGCGGGCACAACTGACCAGCCTAAAGCGGGCACAAGCGACCGGTCTGCCTTCTCAATATGAGATACAAAATACACATTAAACTCTAAAACCGGAACCCTTAACACAAAACCCCCAACCCTAAGTCAATTGCTTGGGCTTCTTGACGACGTTTCGCGTGGCGCTTTGTCTTGTCCACCAGGGTGTTCCGTGCACCGTGCCTGGCGATTTGCACTCAGACCCCCGACCTGCCCTTTTTGCTCCATGCAGCGGCATCCTCGCTGAGATTGTGGGCCAAGCCCTCCGCCGGCACACTGGCCAAGAGCCACGGCATTAGCTGCCACTGCCCTGCATGTTCCTTGCGTTGACCCCGAAACACTAAACCCTAAACCCTAAAGCCTAAACCCTGAAAGGTCTCGGCTAGAGGTTTGGAGTTTGGGGTTCGGGGTTTAAGACGTCTCAGCGAGGCAT